AAGAGCCCCAAGGCAGGGGAATTTTTAGTCGGAGTTTATTTCTTCTAGCCTTTGCCTAAGAAGAGCACACTTTGCAAGGCAGCAGGGCTTGTGGCAGGTGGTACTGGGTTACGTGATACCAGTAGCAAGATTGATCTCGATTATCCTGACCTGACCTGGAGTAGTTAAAAGGAGTTACTTCCAGCAACAGTACTTTGAGAAAACCAGGCATGATATTTTGGAAGTGCATTAGGAAAAACACTGCATCCAACAAAATACAGGAGTCTAAGGTGAGTGTAGGTTTTGTAGTCGGAGTAAGTAGTTAGTTACTGAGCTCACGCTGCATTAGAGTATAAACAGAACACAAACAAACATAAATCAACTTACGGGTGAGTCAACACCGCGCCAGAGGTTCAGACAGAACACAAACATACATAAAAAACATAAAGTAACTTACGGGTGAGCGAGCACCGCGCCAGAGGTTCAGACAGAACACAAACATACATAAAAAAACATAAAAAACATAAAATAACTTACGGGTGAGCGAACACCGCGCCAGAGGTTCAGACAGAACACAGACATACATAAAGAACATAAAGTAACTTACGGGTGAGCAAACACCGCGCCAGAGGACCAGACAGAACACAAACATACATATAACGTAGATTACAGGTGAGCTAATACAGTAACTAAGGCACCTCCAACTATATGAAAAAAAAAAAAAAATGCGCGTATCTAAAAAATACTTACGTAAGAAATTTGATACGCGCAAGCAGATTTTTTTTTTTTAATTTAACTTCTCGAATCAAGTAATAGTTCGCATAAATACATAATTTATTTTTAAATCTTTTTTTAACTCTCTCCAACTTGTAATCAGGCGTGATCACTCGGTACACTACCATCCAAATTTGTCATAATTATTACCAGGCCCCTCCCCTTTTGTTAAAAACAATGATTGAAAGAACTTTCAAAAAAAAAAAAAAAAAAAAAACTCATTCCTCAATAAAAAGAATACAATAAAATTCTTTGAGCATTACTATTATAACTATTTCAAATTTTAGTTCATAAAATAATTTATTTTTAATTATTTCAAATTTATTTCATCAATTATTACCCTCCTCTTTTGATAAAAACAATGATTGAAAGAATGATAATTAATTAAAAAAAAAATTCAAACATCAACAAAGAGCATATAATAATTATATTCTGAGAATTAGAATATACTTTGAAAATTACTATTATAACTATTCTAAATTTAAATTTTAATTTTTGATGCAAATGTATCTATAAAAAATAAAATTCTCAAAAAAATCACGACTGTTTAAGAAGAGAAAGAACTTCTATTGGGAGCAATTTCCCATTTTCACATCTATGGTTAGTGAATTGAATGTTCGATATAACTGGATCACTCTTTATCATAAGATAGTTAAATTAGTTTTTCATAACATTTATCCTTGAAATTTTGCATGAATGGTTTAATCTTGCATTTCCAATCTCTTTGTTAAGAGCCTCTAGTGATTCTTCTGAATAAACTCCAATGGGAAGTTCTAATGCATTGGCAATCTGTAAATCATGTTCTAAAAGTTTGTGAACGCTTGGAGGAATAACTTACCAATTATATTCAGAAAGAATTTTATCTGTTGTATCAATGCAATAACTTTGAAAAGAGCTTGGATCTAAATCATATCCTGAACAAACTGCTTTTAAAATTGTTTCAAGTCTAGAAATGATGTCAACATCTACACCAGTTATCTCAGAGAAGGTAATCGATTCCTCAAAGGCTCTTCTGGCAGTATTACCATCATTAGTGTTTCCAAAACCTTGTTTTGGCATATCAACAATAAGACTTAGTTTTTCCCTAAACTTCTTTTGAATAAATGCTTTTCTTTCTTTAACTGATTCTTTCTGCTCAGATGTTTTAGCATAAAATGACCTAATTTTCAATTTATATCCAAGGTGAAGAATGTATTCAAAGCATCTTATCCAACAGTGAAGAGATGAAAGGCCAAAAAATAAAGCTTCTTTATTGACAGGTTTAGATCTAATCAATTTAATGTCATTTATCTCTGTTGGCTTTGCTGAACATACATTACAGCTTTGAGAAGAGGTAGTACTTGTCAGTGCATTAATAACCTTACCATCAAACATAGTCAAATCCAAATTATACTTTATAATTGCTGTCATCATAGATGACTCAGTCAGTTTTGATTCTAAACTTACTACAAATGGTTCAAGTTTCTGAACTTCAATCCGTAATCGTTCTTCTTCTTCTTTAATTAGCACATTTGTTTCCTTCTTGTACTGCAAACATACTGGTCTGCAGAAATGTGTACTAGATGGTTTCTTGTTGTACCAGATTACTGTATAATTAACAGTCAGTTTAAGAGGCACAATAGATGTTTGGAAAATACTCTCTTCATTTTTAATAACTTCATCTAGAGTTGTATCTAAATATTTTTGTTTATAAAGACTCTGGCTAGACGCTCCATCAAAACCACCTTTGAAATGCATAATTCCATGTTGATTGATATCTTTAACCGATAATTCAGAAAATATTTTGTTGCAACTATTTAGACTCAAGACTCTACACAGTGTATGATTAAAAAGAGATTGAAGGGAGCAAACTGCAGATGTTTCTGAAAAAATCATATTATCAGGATAGCATTTCTTTTTTTCAGTTAATGTTTTATGAAGAGACGGATAGATGTTTGCATTTAGGGAGCTATTTCTGATTATCTGATTTTGTTCATCGGACAGATCACATTGAATTTTTAGGCTGAGAGCATTTTCAACTTTCATTTTAACAGGTTCATGCATAGACATGTTTTTTCTAATTTCATTTGCTTTATCTGGGTCTAAAGCCTTCTTTACTATAAAGATGAAATTGTTTTTATTAATGTTGGATTCAGTTGCAGCACTTTTTAAAGAAGCTAAAGCCAATGCTTCGTGATTGTTTTCAGCCAAATGGGCAATTTTAGCTCTTTTGCTTCTTTCACCAAGATTTTCCCAAACTTTATTTTTTCTTCCTGGACCTTCTTTAGATTTAATTCTTTTAACAAGATCTGGAAAAAACTCCTCCTGTAAATAGATACTTAATTAAATAAAATGAGTGCATAAAAAAAATTTATTAAGAAATATTTTTGTTTCCTTACCTGTAGCCATACACCCTCTTTTAAAATCAATCTGTCATAGTTTCTATTATGCTTTTTTAACTTATTTCCCACTTTTGCTTTAAAAACAGACAACTTATTCTTTAAGTTGGTAAGCTCTGATTTATTGAAGTCATCTTCATGACGGTTATAAACATTTAAAACTTCTTTATACAAAGATTCCAGCAAACTAACTTTATTGAAACCTAGTCCTTTATTTTTTGAAGAAGATCAATTATTTTCATTTTTATATATTATCTATTACATAACACACAAAAAGTTATCAATAGTTTAACAATCTTATTGTCATTTACATTATAATTTAATAGCTACAAGTATTTTGAAAATCCATATGTATATATAAATTAGTAAAAAATTACTAATCAAATTTTTTTATATTTTACACTGTGTTTCATCAAAAAAGACTCATCAAAATGAAAAAAATTTAATGATTTTCTACTAATTTTTTATAGCTATGTTTTTTTAAGAACATTGAGCACTCATATTGAAAATAATTAAATAAAATTTACTTGCTTCAATTTGCTCTAATCTTTTATCATATACTCGCTGATTATAATATTTAGCAAGTAAATTATAAAAGCTCTCTTTTAGATTAGAGCAAATTGGAGCAGGTAAATTTTATTCCATTAAATAGTATATTTTATTTTTTTTTATTTTTTTTTTTCTATTTTAATTCACCTCCTCAAGGCCGAGAAGGCCACTACAGACGAGGAGGCTACTTATTTGTGGCTATAACCCTCTCTCAACTCTATAACTCCGAAACACGAACCTTGACAAACAAGGCCCGTGCGCGGAGAAACGAGTTGAGCGCGGTACTACCAGGGACGTGGTGGGGATCGAACTCGGAACCACACGTTTATGAAGCGAGCGCTCAACCACTACACCACTACCGCTGACAGTATTCAAAAACTGTATTCAAAATATTGCTGACAGTACTCAAAAACACTAACATAAGCATGGAGTTATGTGGAACATTTTTGTTCTTGTACCATAAATAATGTGTTACTAATAAAAAATAAATTTTTTACTAATATTTTTCTTCATGCTGAGTAATGGCTTAAACCTAATAATCTTTAAAAAAAATCTTTCATTTACATTGAGAATTGACACAATATAAGTAAATTAATAAAAAATACTAACACTTTAACTACTATGTCACCATAAAATAAATTTCTAAAACTGACTATTTTATCGAACATTTCCGGGTTTTTTCCGTCATAAAAAAAGCATTAGTAAAGTGCTTCAAATTAATACACAACCTTGCAATAGCTTCAAAAAAAGTTTTAAAATGTTATGCATCTGGCCTTACCATAATTAAAAGTTATTTGTGTTTACAAACTAAAGACTTAAATTTTTTTCCTTTTTTGCCACTTTTTAAAGATCTTGAACCACTGTGCGTCTGAAAAATGTACAGAATAGGTGGATGAAATTTTTTTTGACAGAGTGTATACATATATATAGTATTTTTTCCTTTAAATAATATTGTCATAGAAGATTAACAGAAACTTCCACAAGCAACAAAAGAACTCATCTGAAAAACCAATTAAAATTTAAATAGGAATTTGATATAAGTTGGGTAACAGCATATTAGCATAGAATGTGCATCTACATCACACCCTGGTGCATAGTTATCATGGAGCACAGTGAGTAAATAGAAAATATTGAGTTAATAAAGTTATTCCTGTATTCTCCCAGCTCTCATAGCACTCCAATTTTTTACATGGAAACAACAATATATTAGTCTTGAAAAATATTTAAAATTCATAAGTATTTCATTATAAGCATGTTTTTTACAAACAATGTTTTTAGATGTGTATTTAAAAAAAAAAAAACTTTAAAAATAAAAAGTACCTTGATTACTGCATGATTTAACTTTACTACTATTTCCAACACAATTCAACCATTGATTACTGTTACAATATCGAGTTTTAGTCATAACAAAAGATTCATTGCATTGTGACCACTCACTCCACTGAGACCAAAAAACTATAAAACAAATTAAAGAGTTATGGCAAACACAAAATGCTCCCAACAATTAATAAATAATATTTATATCATCAAACATATTTTATGAAGTAACAACCCAACTATTTTACAAAAAGTTGTAAAAAGAAATGTTTCTGAAAAGGTTAAAACTTAATGGCAAAATAAATATTCAATCAACAAACACACAATGCTAAAATTCCATTCATGAAAACAATTATAAAAGTGTGACGTAGCATGGAATGGAACAGCCATTTAAGTCATACTAACTTTGAAAGTAAATTGTTCAAAATTCAAACTCAAAAACAACACTAATCATATTTATAAAATTTAACAGCATTTGCAATTAAGATAATGATTTTAGCGCAAAGAAAATTCTGCAAAAAAAAAATGTTTTCACATTTTGTGTCTCTTTCAAATTTAAATAAATTTTTTTCACGAACTCTAATTAAAAACAAACAAAAAAAAAATGAAATATCAATAACAATAATATGCAAAAGTTCAAAGAAATACTTTTTAAATACTATTATTAATTATAGGAAAGTATTATCTAAAAAATCAAACAAAATTTTTATTATTTTACTGAAACGATAAAAATTAAAAAAAAATAGAATTGAATAGAATAGAAATAATTAGGGTTTCCAATCCTGATATCCAAATATCTGATTATGCAGATAATTGTCTTATTTTGACTATTTAAAAATATGGATAATTTTTATTTTATTTTAAAAACGTTACTAATGGTCTGTAAAAACGTGCGTTAATTTTATTTTATTATAAAAACGTTACTAATGGTCTGTAAAAACGCGCGTTAAATTTAAAACCAACTAATAAAAACTTTTTTTTAAATTAACGCACGTTTTTACAGACTATTAATAACGTTTTTCATAATGCTAAACTTTTTATAAAGTATATTTTATAGTTGCTTAAGTGTATTTGAAAAAGTTCCCGAAGTTTTTAATCGTATTTTTTAATTCCATGCTCTGTATTAAAAAAATAATCAAAACTTTATAAAGAAAATGAAGAAGTAACAGATTATGTAAATGTTAGCAAAGATAGTGAAGATGAGTCTGTCAAAAGCATTGATGATGAGTTGAACACATATAGTTTTGAAGATGTTAACATAATCTGCAAGCTAGAGGAAGATATTGAAACCATAGATCTCACTAAAGATTTTCAAGAAGTTATAAAAAATCTTTTTAAAAAAGATTTTCAAGACTTATAAAAATGATAAAATTCTCTTAAGTCAAAAACAATATTTTACAAAGATATGCTAATAAACAAGCAGGCATGACATTGCAGTTGATATTAGATGTCAAAACTCTGTGGAATTGATTGATAACCATGCTCAAACGATTCCTTCAATAAAAGGATCCTATAAATAAAACTTTAAATGAATTAGAGCAACAAAAGATTTCAGAGGAGAATGTATCAACTTTAGAAGAACTATTAAACGTCTTATTACCGATAGAAATGCAATAAAGGAGTTAAGTAAAAATTCAGCAACTCTTTGGACTGCTGAAGGAGTAAATAAATTTATATTTTAAAGCTTAGATCAGTTAAAAACAAATATAAGTTAAAATTTATTAAAACAGATGATTAAAATTAATGGATGAACATTGAGATAAAATCCTCACGCCATTAATAGTCATCTAACAATCATTCCACATTCTACTAAATATTTTGAATATACTTCAAAACAGAGTTGTTAGTCTTTGGCTTTGGTCTTGGCCTGGCCTTAAGGCCAAAAATTTAGGCCTTGGCTTTGAATATATTCGCCTTGGCGTTGGTCTTGAAAATTTTGGCCTTAGCCTTGATTGTTTTGGCCTTGGATAAAAAAAAAAAATACATATCTTTTTATTGATTTTATTAAATTCTGCACATAAACTTGGTCTATTTTTACAAAATGTGGTTTTATTTTCACAGTACTTGCTACTTACAGTTTTTTGAAGAATTGGCCTTAACATATTGCAAAAATTTTAGTAGTGGAAATATTTAAAAAGATTCATACATCTAGTGGTATATTATAAAACTTAAATATATTGTAACGCACTTCTAACAATAAGACCAACATCTACTGCAACAGAGTGCATTTTTAATTATATAAAACTTATATTATAACAAATTTATTTTAACTAAAACGTATATTATAAAACTTAAATATATTGTAACGCACTTCTAACAATAAGACCAACATCTACTGCAACAGAGTGCTTTTTTAATTATATAAAACTTATATTATAACAAATTTATTTTAACTAAAACGTATATTATAAAACTTAAATATATTGTAACGCACTTCTAACAATAAGACCAACATCTACTGCAACAGAGTGCGTTTTTAATTATATAAAACTTATATTATAACAAATTTTATTTTAATTAAAACGTATATTAAAAAACTTAAATATATTGTAACGCACTTCTAACAATAAGACCAACATCTACTGCAACGTTTTTGCAATTGCAGGTTAAACAAAAATTAGAACTCGCTTAAATTTTGAAACTTTTAATGCAATTATTTTTTTTTTAAATATGCATTTTTTAAAATGAAACAAATAAAATAGTATAATTGTTTTTATTTTTTTTAATTTTTTTCAATGTATATAACTAAAATATTTAAGTTTAAATGATTTATTGCATTAAAAACACCATGAAAGTATTAAGTTCAATCTATTTTTTTTTTTTTTTTTTTTGTTATCTGGATATCCGGATATATCCAAATAATTTGAATTTTCAGTATTCGATATCCGGTTAGTCATTAATGTCAGATAATTAGAAACCCTAGAAATGATGCTGTAACTCATATGAGTTGAAACTGAAATTACATAGAATTTTAGTCTATAACAGCCAAAAAACTTGATATTAATTAAAACATTATACAAGATCTGAGATTTGAAGTTTTAATTTAAAATGCTTATTAATATGGTTCTTAAATTGATTTATGTTTGTTGACTCAATAACTTCTTGTGTTACTACATTCTAGTCATTTACAACTCTATTAGAGAAAAAAGTGTCTAAGTGTGTTAAAATTGCAATTATTGTGTGTTTTCATTGACCCTTTATGTACTTTTACTTTATGTCTTCTAGCTGGACCATTAGTATTAAAATATTCAACTAGGTTTCGTCAATTTATTTCATCAATTCTTTTTATTAATTTGAACATTTGAATTGAATCACCCTGCCTTCTTTTGTTTTATAATGAGAGTAATTTTAGTTTTAAAACTCTTTCTTCATGACCATAACTAACTATGATATTTTGGTCAATCTATTTTGAACTTTTTTAAGTTTGCTTATCAATTTCTCTTTTCTAAAGGGGGTTCCAAATAACTGCTCGTTACTCGAGATGGGGACAAACTAATGACTTGTATAATAAGTTAGTAATACTATATATTCAAATGCATGTTTAATTCTTCCCGTTTGTTTATTTACTTTATTAACTACATAGCATATATGGTGACTCCAATCAAAATCATTCAAGATAAAAATACCAAGATCTTTTTCGACTTTTACTTCCTTTAGTATAACTAACATCAATTTTGAATTTGTATTTATGGTTGTTATTTATTTTTAGAATTAGATAACATTAGTTTATTAGTAAACTAATGTCATTTAATTCTGATTTAATGGCTGCTAAAAGTTTAGTATTGCCAGCAAACTTTTTGCCTTCATTTTTGATTCTAAATAACAAAACATTTATAAATACCAGGAATAATAGTGGACAAAAAACTGACCCTTGAGGGACTCTACTATCAATTTTCTCTCATTCTGACACAAATTCTCAAACTATTACACCTTGAAATCTTTCACCTAGAAAACTTTTGCACCATCATAATAATTTGTTTCTAATCAGTCGTATGCTTTTGCAAAATCTAATTACAACTCATCTAAATTGTATCCATCTGCAGGTGCCTTTATAATAAAATCAATTGATTCAAGTAAGATAGTAGTGAAATTTTTTTATTAATGAAGCCCTATTGCTGTTTTGTTATCAAATTGTGCACTGCTAATTAATTTAGTAGTGCACAATTTGATAAAACAACAATATGGCTTATAACAATATGATATTAAATAATTTATTATCTCATCACGTATATGCTCCATTACTTATACGCTCCATCAGGTATAGGCTCCATTAATTTACATACAACTAGTTAGTGAAATTGGACAATAATTAGATGGTTCTAATTTGCTTCGCTTTTTAAACAAGGGGATAATGTTTGCTTTTTTCCAAAGGTCTGAAACAACACTTGATTTGTAAGACTTGTTAAATATTATTTATAAAGGTTAATTTTTTTTTAATTTTTTTTCATTTGAATTTTCATGCTATATTGTTGGCTTAGCATAGGAGCAGCAACAAATAGTCATTGCGACTAATCCAAAATAGCATCCATTATTGCGTAACTAAGTACTACTCAAACGCTGATTTGGCGGTGGCAGGATTTGAACTCGTATCTTACAACTGCCCAGGTTTAAACTTTTTGTTTGACACTCTAACCAACTGAGCTATCCAGCCACTATAGCAAAGTTTAAACAAGGGGATGATGTTTGCTTTTTTCCAAAAGTCCGAAACAACACATGATTTATAAGATTTGTTAAATAATATTGATAAAGGTTTGCAGAGTGATTTAGAACACATTTTAAGAACTTTAGGGTAAACATTGTCTATTTCAACAGCTTTTTGTACATCAAATTTGTTGATATGAGCTTACATAACTGCTTCTGTAAAGATTGGATTTAGTCATTCAAAAATAAACTTATTGATAAATTTTGGAATGTTTGTAGAATTTTCCTTTGTAAATGTTAGTTAGTCCGCCAGTAGCATTTGTTTAACCTTGAGATCCATTAGTCCTATATAATGTTTTCATTGATTAAACCGGTATGTGCATATACCGATTTAGGATTTAGTTTGGAATTCAGTACTAACTTTCTTTCGAAATCCCGGATACTTTTTTTTACATTTTTTTAAATTTCTGAATTCAAATGTTTGTACACTGTAACCA